CTGGTGCTGCTGCCTCAGGGATTTGTGTCTGCAGAGCTCAGGGGTAGATGCTGAACTGAAGCCAATGGTGCCACTCCAACTGCTGAGCCAGGATTTGAAGAGATCTGCTTGTGGCAGGCAGCGCACCCTGATCAGTAAAAGGATGGCCCCAGGGATGGCAGGACTTCTCTACCTGGCTGTGGGAAACTTTCTCACCTCTTGATTTGGAGAGAGCTCATTGTTCCTCTTTTGCTTCAGATTTGGCAGGAGCTCTGGTGCTCCTGACCCCAGGGCAGGGGGGTGGTAGCTGGTGCTTTGATAAGAAGGGGATTTAGCTGGGTACATTCCAAGCCAGGGGCAGAAAAATCAACTTTTTGCATGCCAGAGAAGAGCAGCTTCCTGTTTGCAGCACTGGGGAATTTTCAATAAAATAAGTAAGGGCAGGAAAATCTGGGAAGACTTCTAGCATGCGAAACCTGAACATGTCTGGAAATGCCCAGACAGAAGGGAAAATATAAGGTGTTCATGACCTTGCTTACATTACTGTGTGCCAAACACAGTGTGCCAAACACTGTGTCACTGTGTGGAGGCCAAATTGACAGAAACTGTAGAAATGTGCCTGATGTTACATAGTTTCCTTTATGGCTCTGGCAGAATTTCCCACCCTCTGCAGTTGTTGCCTTGAAACCAGTGAACACCAATTATCCCCTTCCTATTCAGCCATCCTGTAAGTCTGAAACAAAAAGCCCTTGAAAACCACTTAGCAACTGCCTACTGAGTGTTTTGATTGTGAAAATACAAAACAAAAGTCTTTATTACCAGCATATTATGTTTCACTGAAAATACTGTTTTAGCGGATGTTGGCATAGGCTGTAAGCCTCTGAATACACTTATTCTGAGCTTTTCCCTGGAAAGGGAGCAGTCAGGGATTCCCCTAGCTGACTTCTCAAGTGCCCCGCGGCAGAGAGCCCTTGTGCTGGAAGTGAGCCATGCCCTCAGATCATAGGCTTGTTCCCTCTTCTGGGAATACTTGCTTATTTCCTCTGTGCACACGAGGTGTCACGGCTGTGTTTTCTGGAGCTCCAGCTGCAATAGCCACTCGGAGGAGGAGCTGTCGGGAGCAAAAGCTGTGCTGACCTCTGCAGTCTGATAGACTTGTGAGATTGGGGCTCACAGAAATTGTTTTCTCGGAAAAAAATACTTGCTTCTCATTCCCTCTTCCCATCAAAATACACATATAAATGCTTTCTTGGGATCCACAGAGGTCCATACTACAGCCCTGGGGCACAATTGCAGTGTGAATTTGGTGTGCAAGCTTCCATGTGATTTTGGATTCTGAACTCTGGAACACTGGCAGCAGAAATCTGTGCCACAGCCATATGATGATCCATGTTGTAGGATGTTCATATGGTTGTCACTTCAAATGCAGTTCCTTCTCTGGTTTGCAGCTTTGACGTCTCATTGCGGAAAAATACTGCATATGACTATGACTATTGTTTTAAAATATTCTGCCATAATAAGCCTGTAGTGGCTAATTTTTCATATCCTGCTGATTTAAAAGAGCAATCAGGATAGTGAAGTGGTGCTAGAAATTCCGTAAAGACAGTAACCCTGTACTGTATTAAAGGAATACAAATAGCAGCTCAGGATTCATTATCACTCCAGTTCACTGCGTAACCAAGCAATCAGTTTTGAAGAGAAATAAAGACAATTCTTCCTGACTAGACTGAGGTAATTAGTGATAGAAATGGAGGGAAGTGGGAGGAGTTAGCATTATGAGGCATGGAATTTTTAGGAAGGGGCAGAGAATTTGCTGGTCAGCCAGTATGGTACAGCTCTGAGGTCTCTTTATCTGCTACTAAAAGAGAAGGTGCAGCACTATGGGGAAAACCTTACATACTTTTTGCATGTAATAGTCATTAACCAGGTGTGTGTGCATCTCCATTTCCAAGACTAAACCAAGATATTTATTATGCCTTTACTGTTGCTGCTGTGTCTGTTTCCTGAGGTGTTACTTGTTCTTTGAAATGTCTCTTGAAGTAAAGATATTTAGATAGGCATTTTTAAAATCAGGAACAGAAGGTGTAAATGTAGATCCCTATGGGTTGGGGTTTTTGAAGATTTTTGGGATATTTCAGCATGTGCAATCAAAATACCAGTTGTTTTCCATGAGATTAAGGTTGAGTTGCTAGTAGCTAGTGCTGTTTTCACTGACTTCAAAGCCAAAGGAATACATGTGTTTTAGTTGTGTAAATGTAAGTTTGAGTCATCTATAGATTTGAAGTATTACCAACTATTTCCTATTTAGCTAGATGGTTCAGATCTAGCATCTGAAAGTTAAGTAGCTTGTGGAGGCCCAGGGTGCTGGCTCTGTGTCTTTGACAAGCAGCAAGATTAAGGATGTTATAGACCAAACTGCAGCTTGATGTTTAGCTAGGTTTGGACTGAACAGGACTGGCTGAAAGGTGTGAGTGCAAAACAGACAAAAGGTGATATAATTGTTTTGTCAGGTAACAGTCACCATAGCAAGCAAACTTTACCATGCATGACAGGCTCCTCAAAGTCTTTCCACTGTGTTTCTTTTCCACGCAGCTTTTGTTACAACAAGTGTATTAAGGACTTTAGCTGCAGTGAACTGTGGTTCTGCAGGGTTTTTTCCAAAGTGTGCAGTGTTCTCACAGCCATACCTTTTTGTGCACATAATGTTAAATCAGCTTCATGTGATTTTTAGATTTCTCTGCCCACCCAAATGCTGTGCATATTTATTTTGTTGGACTTGCTGTTCATGCCAGGTCGCTGTGCTGAGCATGGTGTTACTGAGCCTTCCCAGAGCCTCTGGCTGTGGTGACCTCTGGAGCAGACAAGAACCAAATTTACCCTACTCTGTTCTTCATATCAGTAGTGCCGTGCCACAAACACATTAGGTCTGGCTTCTGCCAAGTCTGATGTTTTCTTGTTTATATTCTATTGCAAGTAAAAAATAGATTTTTTTTTGCTGTTTTCTTTGCAGAACACAGACTTTGACCGTAGACTGTGCTGAGTCTTTCTGGCTGCTAAGATAGGATATAAAAAATGAAATTTATATTTGGGGTGGATGGCAGTGAGCTTTTAACTGCTAGGGAAAAAGATTGTGTTATTTGAAAACACAGAGCATGTTCCTTCAATGAAAGGATGCACAAAGAATACTGATGATTTTTCATCAACAGGGCCCCTCTTATGTCCTTTTCAATTTTGACGGTAAACCAGCGTCTGAGTCTCTTGGGATAAACTGCTGACTTGGAATATTTCCCTGTCTGACTTTCTGAAAGCCCTTCTGTAGCTGTTGAAGCCAGGCGATCTCCTTGTCTCTGGCGATAAAAGGCTGCCCTAGCCAGGCCACCCTCGGAACTGCAGCCTGCTGAGCTGGGATTCGAGGAGCATCCGTGTGGTCTGTTCAGAGCTGGGGAAGCTTTTAGGGTGTTCGTTCCCGGTGGGCTTGTGTGGGAGACAGCAGTCATCTTGTTACTGAGATGAAACACAGCATACTCACTTAGCACTGCAGCAAAAACAAGAGGGAGAGGCCAGTCACTGCAAAGTGGTTCTGGGCAGCAAAGCGCAGACAAATGTCTACATACAAACACATAAAGTTCCTGAGTGTAAGATTTGACACTGCAAAATCTGTGTCCCAGTTGAGCCCAGCTCCATGTCAGTCTTAAAAGCTTTTTTTTTTTCTCCAAAGTCTGATGGTTTTCTTCTCTGAGCTATCTTCTGTGAGGATGGGTCATGGGAAAAGCTCCTGGGTCTCCACACCAGCACAGTAACAGTCCCCTGTCAGTGTAGGAGTGGGCTGGGCAGCCTTCAGCTCTGAGCAGGAAGCTCCCCAGGGAGAAGCACCTGTCTCATACCACATGCTAGGAAATACTTTTTAAAGCCAGTTTAATCCCCAAGCTGTAATGCTTGCTTCTCCTCAGAATTTCTGTCTCATTCACTTTTTCTTTTCATCGTAGAGATACTTGTAATGTAAAAATACTATAAGGTACCTTGCTTCCATTTTGGCACACTTCATGTAATTAACTTTTGGTTCATAGTTAGCAAGTAAGTGTTAGTAACTATATCAGCATTTTAAGCCTCACTACTCTGGCTTGTTTGAAAGAAAGAAAAGTCCCTCATAGAAAAAAATGCTCTTTCTTCTTCTGTATTTCTTGTACTTGCCCTTTTCTGTCTGGGCTCCCGTCTCCTGTTCTTAACTTTTTCTCACTGCCACATGGACTTGACTTGCTGGCTCCATAAAAAGCTAGTCAGTTACTGTAATACAGACTGTATTTATATTTATACTCAAGTATAAATTACTTGAGTAAATTTGAGATAGTAACTGAAATCAGTGGAATTGCTCAGAGGCTGGAGAAACACTGGCACAGGTTGCCCAGAGAGCTGGTAGGTGCCCTATCCCTGGAAACATTCAAGGACAGGTCAGATGAGGCTCTGAGCAACCTGAGCAACCTGATCTACTTGACAATGTCCCTGCTAGATGTCAGGCTAGATGACCTTTAGAGGTCCCTTCCAACCCAAACCATTCCGTGGTTCTCTGTGTAAAAATAAATTTGTTTAGTAAAGTATTTTAATAGCAATGCTGGTATGCTATTTTTGTCACGATGTTTCAGTACCTTTGGTAGTTTTCTGTGCTGTCTCATTCAGGACACAGTAGGTGGCATGTTCCCGGTATTTTTAAACTTTTATTTATGTATCTTTATGCTTATCTCTTAGTGTGATTTAATGCATACAAGACTATGATCTACAAGAGAAGTTTGTTTGCTTTTTTGTCTGCTGTATCTCTGATCATATAGTTTACAATGGTGAATGTTATAAATATCAATCTGTGGAGAAGTTTAATATAAGAACTACCTCCTGTATTATCCAAGTAGTAATAAGGGGAATATTTTCAGCCTGTCAACCCAGCACAGGACAACTGTTCATGCACTTGCAAGCCAAATTGTTATTTCTGTTTTCAACATAGTTTTCTACCTTCTCTTTTTCTGGTCCAGGGAGAAGAAATTGAAGGCTAGAGTGCAGGAGTTAGTGAGTGCTTTGGAGAGGCTCACGAAGAGCAGTGAGATCAGACATCAGCAGTCTGCAGAATTTGTTAATGACCTTAAAAGGGCAAACAGGTAAAGGATCTACCAGCAGATGGACCCGCCATTGATTTTTTTTTTCTGTGTTCTGGCAATGCACTGTAATATTTCCCTTACCTTAATGAGAAGTTTATGGATCCTTGTATTCACACACATTGAGTCTTTAAGGCTCTGGTCAGAGATGTGGGAGGTATTAAACCTCCCATGTAGGCCACTGACAACTACACAGTTAAGAACAGAGGGAGGGAAATAGGTTAATCTTAACTGAGTTACTAGTAAATGCACTTACAGAAACAAACAAAACTCAGATTTATAAATCTGTTACTTTGTTTTAAACTTCTCCTTTTCCTTTGGCTCCAGCCTCAGTTAAACTGTATTGCTTACTCAGGGCATTTTACCGGCCCTGTGTTTGGATGGACTAGGAATACAGCGGACTGCAGCTGCCTTCCTGCAAGGAACCTATCACTCACAATGTAGTTTTTCTTAAATTATACCTGAAAGCCTTTGTGGTGAAAAGCAACATCCACCTCAAGCTTTCCTACTCAGTCAAGGTGGAGGCACAGAACCTACCTAGCAGCTGATAAATTAGCACAAGATACCATCCTCTGAATGTAAATGTGATTTTTTAAAATGGAAAATGCAAAATCAGTCCTGGATTTTCTAAAAATATTCTGGCCATGCAGTGTTCTTATAAATCATTACATGTTTAATGTTGTGGTATCCTGACTCACAAACAGTGCTCTGCAAGGTCATCATCAGCAACCTCTATCTGGCTCTTTGAACCATGTTTAAACATATTTTCTTTACCTGTTTCCTGGCAGAGGTGTGTGCTTCCCCAGAAAAGACATGGACATTAGCATTGCTCTGGGTTTGGATCAATAAGGTTTGGATCTAATCCATTTTAAAGCACTGGTAATTTTTAGGAAGATTATCAATACCCACACTTCGGAGTTTTCTGAAGGTGGGGCTTTGCGGTGGATTTTTTGTAACACTTGCTACGAACAAGCCTTTTTGAATTACCTTGTACTGCCTTGTGTTTTTAACAGCAACTTGGTAGCAGCTTATGAAAAAGCAAAGAAAAAGCATCAAAATAAGCTGAAGAAACTGGAATCACAAATGATGGCCATGGTGGAGAGACATGAAACACAAGTGAGGATGCTCAAACAAAGAATAGCTTTACTGGAAGAAGAGAACTCCAGACCACACACCAATGAAACTTCACTTTAAATGCATCTCTTTAAAGGATGCTTAGTGCCATTACAACTTTCTTTCTTTTGGAGGCTGACTTTTAGGGAGCTTCAAATGCTAAAAGCTCTGACTGTCAATGCTGACACACTTAAAGCACCTTCTCTGGGATCCCAGAGAGGTGTCATGGGGATAATAAAAATGTTAACCGTAAGAACTGTTTCATAATGTAAAATGGCAGTGCCTGAATTATCATGCTATAATTATGTACATTGTCTGTGTCGTTATGTCTATATTCATACAGCTTCTCTTCCATTTTATATACGTCCCATGGGTGACAGTGTCACATAGCAAAATAATTAATTTTAAGAGGTTTTCATTTCGGTCATTTGGAGATCATTTGAGAGTTTTCCCAATCCCTGAGCTCCCTCTGCACACAAGTCCATATTGTACCCCAAGAAAGACTTGCTGTTGTGGTTAAACCAACCAAATGGGCAGCTGCAGAGAGGGGAGATGACAGGCTGCCTTGCTTTTTTGCACTCTGTTTGCAATACTGCTGCTCACAGTGCAGAGCAGGTAGGAAAATTCCTGTTGATTTGGAAAAAAACCCAAGAAACTCTCAGAGTTGCATCTCTGAGAACCATGATGATGGTGTATTTCTTACAGTTTGTAAGAGGGCTAAAGGCTGTGAGTTTCACCATGCCACGTAGATGGTCTGAGCCAAGGGTGGGTAAGAAATGATAGGAGACCTCCTGGTATTTATATTACATGGTGTTCACAATGACTTTGTAGAGGAGTTGGTTTTTCTTGCTAACGCATTATAGCCAAGGTTTTCTCTAAGAAGCTGGGCCATTTTTGTCACACGTATAGTGCTTATTACAGCTTACTGTGATCAAGAGGTAGAATGTCTTTTTTTAATACTTTTTTTTGACCCAAAAAGGTACTTATTAGGAATGTACCTGTTTAATATTGAATACGTAGGCACAAAACTATAAATGTGTAGATGTATGGATATCCTGTCACAAACAGAATGTGAATGGTGACGTCTTCTTACAGCTTCTTAGGTTAGTTTTTGTTACTGCTAACATTTTCTTCTTTCATTAAAGTCACATCATATTACTGTATTATCAAACTGACTGAATGGCAAATGTTGCCCTATTATATTAATGAACATTAAGCAAATCATGGGGATAAGGTTGATTTCTGTTGGGGTCAAAATACAGGAGTCTACCATAGCACCTGTTACATTCAGATTCTTCTTCTTTTTGACAGAGTACGTAAAAGAGCTGCCATGTGTGTTTTAACATGCCAAACTAGAGTCAATTCACTGTGCTAGCCTGCTATGATGTTACACCTCTGCTTTGCTTTTTTCAGGCTTATTTCCTAGGGAATCTGATTTCAGGAGTCATTCATCCTTTTTGCTTTACATGTTGAGTTGCACCTCCAGTTTTACAAGTGTATTTAGAATTATGATAACTTCTCTCACTTATTCCTCCCATTTCTAGTACTAAGGAAATATTTTTAGACGACTTTAACTGTTTTTCTCTACTGTTGGGTTAGCCCAGGCAGCCAAAATATGGGAATTTGTGTTCAGAGTATGGCATTATTGTTACACCTTGGTTGCATCTGAAACTGTAGCAGTTGGTGTTCATCTCTTTCTACTGTAGCTGCTGTTGTCTTCTTTCCCTAGAGTAGTCATTCCTACTTCCCTAGAGCCTGATACTTCATCTACAAAGCCAGCATGACTGATTGCAACAGCAAGTTAAAAGAATGCTGATTTCAAAATTTTTAGTTAGTAACATCCTGGGATTGGTTTTGATCAGTCCTCTTTCTCAAGCTAATTGCACTTGATTTACAATGTGAATGGAAATTTTTGCAAACCAGTCTGTTGAGGGAGGAGGCATATTGATTTCTGCTGCCTTTATGGTTTTGCTTAGCAGCTTTCTATGGCACTTCCCTTTTTTGGCTAAGTTTCTTACCAACAGGAATGTGGGGTTTTGCCATAAGCTTCAGTTGTAGCTGAGCACACTTGTTTCAGAAGAAACACAAAGGAAAATATCCACTATGTACTGTGGTAAAAATGCAGTTACACTTTTGTCTTTTGGCATCTGAAACACCCATCTGATCTGAGGTAATCTCAAAATGTCCATGTGAAATACCTTTCAATGAAGAGGACTAGAAACAACTACTGCACTGGATTGCCTCTTAGGCTCTTTTTTTTTTTCTATTTAGAATAACAGAATCACACAATGATTTGGAAGGGACCTTAAAAGATCATCTTGTTCCAACCCCCCTGCTGTGGGCAGGGACATGTCCCTCTACACCAGGTTGCTTCAAGCTCCATTCAGCCTGGCCTTGAACACTTCCAGGGATGGAGCATCCGCAGCTTCTCTGGGCAGCCCGTTCCAGTGCCTCACCACCCTCACAGTAAAGAATTTATTCCCTAAAAAAATTTCTTGGTACCACTTGAATTTAAATCTCTCTTTAAATTATAGGTACAAAATAAGAAAGCATAAAAACACAGCAACACAGAATGGTTGGAAGGGACCACTGGTGGAGGCATCTGGTCCAACCTCCCTGCTCAAGCCAGGTTTCCTGGAGCAGGTTACTCAGCATTGCATCCAGATGGTTCTGGAATATCTCCACTGAGGGAGACTCCACAGCCTCTCTGCTCAACCTGTTCCAGTGCTCAGTAACCCGCTCAGGAAAGAATTTGTTCCTCGTATTCACGATCAATTTCTGCCTGTTGCCTCTTGTCCCCTTGCTGGGCTTCCCTGAGCAGAACCTGGTCCATCCTCTGACCCCTCCCTGCAGACACTGACAGATATTGATGAGGTTCCCTCTCAGTCCTGTTCTCTTAGAGGCATAAAAAACTGCAACCGTCCCTCAGTGCTTTTTTCAGGCCTCAAGACTTGCTGATGCCATTTCACTGCATTTACTGTGTATCTTCCCTGCCAACTGTGCTCTGAAAGTGCTTGAGAATGAATTATAAATCATCAGTAGATGTAAGCCATTTTCTTCCCAGAGGGTTTGTAGATGAAAAACACAGATATCACACAGCCTCAGCAGCAGCCAGTTTGCCAGACCACCAGTTTAGTTTGCCCAAGCAAGCAGCTACTGATTGATTTGTTGGCATGCTGGAAAAGATCAACAGAGAAGTGGTAAAAGGTTTAGTGCTAGCGTGAAAACTCTTCAATATTAATAATTAGCTGTAGTTCCAGTGTAGCCATTACAATGGCACCAACCCTGAGAATAAAAGCCAAAAAACTTAACAACTCTGTTCATGCAACTCTGAAACACCAGCACACAAGATACACAAGTGTGCAATGTGCCTTGAGTCACAGCAACTAAACTCTTCTAACATTTGCTGCAAAAATAATACATTGGAAAAACAAGAAATACAGGTGGTTCTTGCCAACAAAACCTAAGTCCATTCATGACTTTTTGATTTTTTAAGTTACCAGAGTGCATGAAACTTTGTATTTCACAGTGTGTTCAGAAAAAAAAAATTACTTTTTTTTCTAATTAAATGTATTAATCTTCACCAGCTTGAATGTACTGTTAGCTATTGCAAAGCACATGTGACTAGGTTTGCATTCGTGTCAGTATTGTTCTACTGGTTTTATTAGGATTTTCTCCTCCTTTAATACTGCACCATACATTGTTACTTTATAAATTTTTCACCATACTGAATTAGCTTTAAATGTGTTGCTACTTTTTAGTTTCCTAGGAGCTGTAAAATAGCTATTTTGTGTTTATTTGATATAGAATTGTAAAAATTGCATTTATTTATACAGAGGCATTTATAATACTTATTTTACAAATGTTCTTATATTCTGAATAAATTTCTAATGCTGTTTCTTTGCCTTTGGCGTTGTTTTACCATAACTTGTCATCTTATTGTTGAATGGGCCACCTCTAAGTATCCTAGACACAAAGGTACCTCATCTCCAAGGTAAGTTACTGAGGGAGATGGTGTGACATGGTCAGGAAAGTTCCTGTTACAGAGCCACAAAAAGTTGGTGAGAACTCAGCTGAGATCTGACATATTAGTACTTCCCCCAAACCCTCTACAGCTTCAATGAACACTTTATAGAAACAAAAGGGCACATGTGAAACTGTTTCTACACATCCAGTTCTTTTAATAACAAGTTATATAGACCAAAAAAGAAAAAAAAAAATCTTTCATAAATACTCTAAAAGCACTGACTGAAGTTCACATACTTCCTTTCTCCAGTACATCCAACAGCTTTTTATTTTCCTTTTTCTTTCCATTGTGTTGAATGGGGTCCTCATCCATATTTGCTATTTACCTTAAGAAATAATACTTCTTTTCCTGGCATTATGTTTAATCACTGCTGCTGACTGGCTTAAGACAACACCTAAACATTCTACAGTGAAAGAATAATCTGTACCAGCAGCACAGGCTTTACATTTCACAATGATCAGCAGTCCTTATATTCATAGTTCAGTAAGTTTATTTATAAAGTGATTTAATTTTACAGAGAAAATATAGAAGAAAATGTCAACTTAGTCATAGTCTCTTAAATGGTGTGCTTCAGTTTCTGAATCAATTCATAACAAAATCACAATCATCAGTACAGCAGATGTTACAGGTAGTTACAGATTTTACTTACTACAATTGAAGGGTTAACTACTGCAAACTTTCTTCAAAAGAACATAATGGAAATTGAATAAAATCTGTAATGATTTTAATCTTATTAGCTGTACATACTTTCTACTTAATTAGCACTGATATGCCACTTACATAAAACTGAGGAAAACAGATCAAGTTCTTGAGCTTTAAACAAAGAGGAGGAAGACATAACCTTTCATGCATGAGCCATATAATAAAACATTGGCTCCCTGTTTTCTGCCAGGCATGCAATGCCGCCCTGAAAAATGTTACTTTTTGGAAGCAATACCCAAGTCAGCCTGGATCCTGCATTATTATATCAGAATTAATGGACAAGCCCCTACCTTCTTCTGTAGAGTCTTGTTTCACTTTTTAATTTTAAAAGTGCCTTGCAAATGCAGCTAAACTGCTCCTCAGGGATGAAGCACAACTTCCACATATTGCAGTGCCTTGCAGACATCCTTCTGAAGGATCCTGTTGCAAGTATAGGCATGAGAAGTATTTGCTGAGAGCTCTCGATTGTGCAGTTTTGCATACTTTTTCTGCATAACAAAACTATGTACCCAACCAGTAAGATACAAATGGTTAATTTCCATAGTTTAGTAATTTTGGTCAAACACGCTTAAAAAAATCTGCTAAGTTTTTTTTCTCACAGCAGAAAGTGTGTTGTAGAGAACTGTGTTTGCAGGATATGTGTTCTTAAAAAGCTACAAATGCCTTCTTTTAAAAATGATTAATGCTCCATGAGCTGTAATCATTTTCTTAAAGGTACTGAACTGTAAGCCATACTGGAAACAAGAAGCCAGTTCTTCTGATCAACAGTATAAATGCTTAAAAATGACAAAATACTCTGTTTTCAGTAAAATTTTTGGGCCTATGCAAATTTAAACATTCTGTATTCCGTGAAATGTTAATAATTCCTTAAAAGGAAGCTTTCTTTTTTTTTCCTGGAAGAATTGAAGAAGGACTTGAAGAGAAGTATCCCAGAGCTGAGACAATTTAAAGATAAGGGCTTCTGTAAAGCTGAATCTGTACAAAAAGTTAAGTCTCACTTAACATTTTGAATGAAAACACAAGTTAAAACCCAAGCATTTAACTTTATAGTACTACTTCTAATCTGGAACCTCCTATGATCTTGAATATGGCCATTGTAATTGCTACCTATGTAGTCTTCCTTTTAAGTCCATAATCTACATGAGAAAATGAAATGCACACACAGCACAAATCCTACTGCATCTATCAGTGCTTACATACAGGATTAAGAACAGTGCAAATACTAGCATTTAGCCTACTTTCTTGAACTACACTATTGCTATAAATGCATAAGAACAAAAACTTATTATGGAAGAATAGTGACGTTTCCAAGTCTAATTTACTGTAAAAGCACCTTCAGTTAGTTTGTAGAAATTTACCATATCTTAAATAATTTTGGTTGTTTCAAAAGTTAAAATATTGTAATAACAAAAACAATTTGAAATTATGAAGTCATGTATAAGCACCAGATTATTTAACATTTACAGTGCAAGAATTAAAATTGGTTTATTTACAGAAATTAAATCATCAAGAGAGACTATTCTACCAATTCTCAATAATTATGAGCTTCCTAACATATTTAAGAGTATAACCTCCTAACTTAAAACATGAAGGCACCTGACTTTACGTCTGGAAGAAAAACCTGTTGCTCAGAATTTATAAAAAACCCCAGGTATCTGAGGATTAAGCAGCCCACTAACCCCACAACTGGGCAGCCAGTCACCCATGGAGCAACAGTGCTGTCTTGCACCACAGGATATCAGAGCTTGGATTTTTAACGTAGACTCTTGCTCTTCACACCAGAATGACAGGAGTGCAAAAGCAAATCTTCTACAACAAGTAAAGGTTGGAAAAAATAACATCTGAAATTACAATCTGAGACCAAGTATGTTAGAAATAGTCAGACCAAAAGCCTGCCTTATTTTTAAAAGGAACCGTTACATCTATAATGGCCACAGGTAGATCAAGGAAAAACACAGTGTATTGTTCTCAAACCACCAAATTAATTCAGGAAGGTTGGAGCAGAGCACAGAAGCCTGGAACAGAGACTAGGCCCAAAATTTTATTAGAAACTATTTATGGAAGTTTGGTCTAAAGAATTTACATTGTGTTAAAAAAAATACTTTGATTGTGCAACAAATAAAGCTATTTCCCCTCTTCTGCCCATAACCACTGCTGCCAGACTTCAAACCATGTAAGACACAGTTCCTTCCAAAAGCTGGATGATGGATGTACATCAAGGAGTTGAAGTTAGTAGCACTTCAGCACAGAACATATGTCACTCAAGTGGACAGGACACTCTTCAGTCTGAGGTCAAAGTACAGAGCATTCTGTGAAGGAGAAATGCTAAAAACCTCATGCTAAAGCAGGGAGTTTATGTAGTACCAGGAAACTGCAAACTAATACTAGATTCCCAGCACCACACATCTGTAGGTTTGTTTGTTAAATGTTTATTCCACAAGTTCTTTAGTTGCAAAAAACATTGACTGACCATTCATAATCTTAATAAGCCCTTACATGCAAGCATTCTCAAATTGACTAATCTGTTTTTCAAGTATCTTGATACCAGCTCTTGAGTCTGACATGCAAACAGTTACTTGTTTCTCTGTGTCTGGCTCCCATAAAGTAAAAACTCAGAGAATGAAAGCCTAGATCTCACTTGCTATTTTCTTCACTGTTTTATGGAAGATAATGTAAACAGTACTTCTAAACTTAGAAATACAATTATAAAAGGATGGTGAAATAACACAAAGAAAGTAAACAAAATGTTCACAGTGCAGGGCATGATGGAACCCATGGGGTAGATCACATGCCTCCACACTTACATAGTTTTAGAAACCTTACTGAGAAAGCAGAAATGCTACTACAAGAAACAGTACCCTTATACAAAGAAGTAAGTTATTGCATATTTATCACATTTATTTGCAACTCACATTAAGGCTAGATTTACTAAAATCATGACATGTATAAGCCCCACTTTGGGTTGCTTAAGGAAGCAACCAGGGTCTCTTATAGTGAACCAACCTTTCACCAAGAAGAAAAAAATGACACAGTAAACAGAGGGCAGCCAGCATCTCCTATTCATAGGACATGCTTCCAATGTTTTGAAGACTTCCTCTTGTCTGGGACAGAACTTCCCAAACAGATGACAGATGCTCCAAGTTCACTGTTTCATCAACATCCCCATTATTTCACAGAGCACTAAATGAACTATAACTAATTTATCTGAAAAGTCAACTTATTTATATAAAGATTTCCACAGCCTGATATTTAATTATGCCATAGGAGAGTCCTGTCATCTCCACAGGCAGTAGCAGCCTCAGGATACAAATACAAACTTCTGCCTCACCATGAGTAAAGGCACTTTTGCTGGGAAATCAACTAAAAAAGCACTACAGAAGTAACTAAAGATCAGTTTTCACCTGAAGCTGAATAATGTAACCTCCTCCAGCATTATCCCACCTTCTCAATTACTGTTCTGTATCATTTACTGCTTTGAACAGCCTTTGGATACTTTAAAAAAAAAACCAAAATAAAACAAACCCCAAATGTGAGTCAAAGCTAGACTGAGCTATTTCACAATTTGGTCTTGAAAAACAAGGCCCTCAGAACTCTTGTCCTCTAGAAGGAGGAAATGCTGTAATCCCTTTCTCCTGTTGACTGATACAGAAGTTGAGCACTCCCATGGCCAAAATTATTACAGCATTAGAGTTCCAAATCACCTGGTGCCAGAGCAGGTGAATAAACCAGGAGAAAGTTCTAAAGCTATTTCTGAGGAAAAGCACTACTAGGTAACAGATCAGGTAGGGTAGGTGAAGTAGGGCGGTTGAAGGAAGACTAGGATTTTGGTTTTGGATGATGCATGAGTTGCATAAAAACTCAGTGCATGAGCATACACTACAAGGGTGTAGATCATTCAACCTATGAAGTTACCAATTAATCACCTCTATTCTAGAGAAAAGTCCATTTTTAAATCTGGGACGTGCTTGCTATCACAAGCTGCTGTGACAGATTATTTCAGTGCATTTCTATCAATTGCCAAGCACATGCTCAAAACCCATTAACTTGAAGGTGATGTAACAGTTCATCACCTCAACTCTCACTGGTTTTTTGTTTGTCCCCTCCACTCCCATCCCATCTTTGATGTTTTTCCCAAGAAAGCACTGTAGCTGAAATCGACTGAGGCTAGATCATTTAAATGCTAACTGCAAGTGCAATTCAATACTACAGGATATATACAGAGCAGATACACTACACAAGAGATGTGAGGACAACAGCACAGAATACAATACCTTGAAATAGTTATTGGAAGCCTGATTAAGCTGTTCAGTGTCACACAATGCCTCTATTATCACCTGCCTTCCTCCTCAGCAAGATCTACAGAGGCTTATTTACATTCAGTATAAATTCTACACAAGTAACTTCTCACAAAGTTTCAGCTTTTTGTCTTTTGAAAGCAGCTTCAACCAGGGTTGGACACTTTGAAGGGCTAACTTCTACCCAGTTTGTGTATGATTACTGAAGACCAAGGAAGAGTAGGTACAAGAAGTCAACATATTAACAGATTTGACTCCAAGTACTAATGATTGCCAGCCAACAGAAACTATCAGAGTAAAGGAGAGAAGGTATTTTGAGCAAGCAATCAGTACAGAGAAATGATGACAGGCTGAGGCTAGGTTTGAAATGTGCAACTTGGTGTCAAAATCACTAGGACAAGAGGAGTCCTCTGAGAATTAGTTTCATTGCCACTGCGTAATATTGCAATTTACTACCAAAAAACTACTGAAGTCCAATAATTTACATCCAAGCAGTTAAAAGTTTAGCAAGCTGGTATACTCTAACAGTTAAAAAAAAAGTCAATGACATTCTACAAAACACACAGGAACTTAAAATAAAAAACGAAAAAAAAACACCAAAAATGAAACACAAGTTAAATGAATGCCCTCTAATGCACAGCTAGGAACACAAGAACTGAACATTGGAAAGGTACTTTTGTGGACAAAGGCTATACTGCATTTAAAGTGCAACACTTGACTATGCCACTCTCATACTGCAAAGAGAACAAACCCTTCCAAACCACCAGTCAGTCCCTGCATTGCATTTAAAAACAAATGAACAAAACAAAACAAAAAGACTCCTGAGAAAGAGTAAGGCTGGATAAGAAACCCCCTCAGTTGCAACAGGTAAGTCCGATTTATTCCTATTAAGTTTGCAGTCAGAGGTCAAAACTTTTCATTATGGCATCGTGGTCGAACTTGAAACTCAAGAAAGCTCTTGATGAAAAAGCGAATTTGTAATGACCATTGCATGCCATAGAATGTCCCTCTACGTGTTCTGGCAGTGGGTCTTCACTGGAGCAACACATCTCATATGCTGCTTCTGCTTTAAGAGAAAAAACATGAAACAAATTTTAAACAGGTAGTTAGCAATAAACGTGTCAACAGCAATACAAAGCTATACCTCAAACTTATATTCAACTAATATTTATAACAAAACCTGCATCTTTGGTCATAAACAGAAGAAGATAACTCAGACAACAATATTTACAAGTTATATAGAGGCTAGAATAAATCTTAAAAGTCACTGCAATCTGAGAACACTTTCAGTGGCCAGTTTTACTCACATAATAGTGTTTGCAAGTCATTTTTTAATAAGGAGGAAAGAAATATGACACTATTTTCTGAGAAGTAAGTAAAGAACTGTGTGCGCTCTCCTGCAGCTTATTACTAGCAGGACATAAAGCCTTGAACCAACACTCAATTACCAGCACTGCAATGACTCAGATGCTATTTTCCTAAACCAGTTTTCAGTTACTTTTTACTCATGGTATAATCAGACAGTCTTAATAAATAAGGAGAAGAATTGCAAAATCAACATGAAAGACTGTATTTTTCATTTAAAAAACAAAACAAACCAAAACCAAACAAAAACAACCACTTGCCTGTTTCAAAGTTATCTTGAAGTCTTCTTGGATTAAGCTTTTTTTCACATTTCTGGTTAAGAGAACAACCGAACAACCATACATTACTCACTTGACAAAGAGATGGCATTCTATTCTTAGGGGTGTAGTTTAAACATCAGCTAAAAGGCAAACCGGTTATATTTGCTTTGACACACTTCTTCATGTGTGAATTACTTTACTTTTAACTGAGCATGAATTCTGTCATGTTACTTTAGCAAGCATGCATCAAGTCTGCAAGTCTTTCAGAAGCATGTAACCTTTTTAACAGTCAACAAACCATTTTTAAAATGCAGGCCTTCAGGGGAAGATTTTGAGTGCTTTCTAACTGTTTTAAGATGAAAGGGTCTTGCACACGATGTTGTGCACACGCATAAGTCCACTCTTCAAGTGGCTTGTCTCCAAAAAGGCAAGGGGAATGTATTTGCAAACATGCTGCTACTGCCAACTGAATGAACATGTTTTAGAGACACAAACTTAGAACTTCCCTCTCCAGAGAAGAGTTGTTTTAGTCCCAGGTATGCTGCTGTACACAAATACAGGAAAAAAAACATGGCCCTCTGCGCTTTCTGCAAACAAAGAGTTCCCTGGCCTTCAAATTTTATCAGAACATTATCACTGGGACACAAAATATTTAAACTTCAAAAGACCGACAATCATGAAAATGCAAATGAACTAGAAATAGAAAATATTTGGAAAAGTAAAGAGCCTACAAAGTAACTGCGGAGCATTAACAGTTCCACTTTTTTCCATAAAGATCCTACATATTACCGTGGCAGTTTTTTAATATCCATCCAAATTTCTGGGCAGTCAGTTCTTTGACTTTTCATTTTTCTACTCTCAGACTCAAAGACAATTACCCATTTCTTGCTACGGTGAGAATTTTACAGGATAAGAGTTTACAGTTTCTGTACATTTACGTGAATAACAAAGAAAGAGCAATAACCGCAAGCCAGAATGGGAAGAATTTATCTTACAGCCTGTAAATAAGAAAAACTAAAGCCTGGACAGGCCAGCTGAGCTGCATGGAGAACTGGGGCTCACTGCTGCACAAGACACAACAAAGTAGAACTGAAGAGCCATAAAGAACAGAGAAACAAAAACATATTCTATTAAAAAAAGGAAGTACAGCTCAGTAAGCCTTCTCCCAGCCAGTAGAACTGTAGGGAAAAATACAATTAGTTACTGTAAGGGAAAGGGAAAAGTAACAAGCCAGGAATATCATACTGGAATTTACAAACTGCTGCAGTTCTACTCTATAATTAAAAAATTATATGAGATTCTGGTGTCCAAACCAAGCATGCATCTCTACATTTTTGCTAGAGAGAAGGGAAATAATAAGCATATGCATTACCCTTTTCTATCTAAGTGTTGCATAGCAAAACCCCATGATGCTTACAATAATACATCATACATGATTAAATAAGAGACATATTACACTGAGTTATTACTACACATTACAGTAGGCTATTACATGACAGGAACCTGTAAAGCTGCAGGATTGTGTACTGAAAAAATTGACAAATTTCCAACAGCTAAAATTAATTACTTCCAAATGCAAACTTTGAAATTTAATATGCCTGTCTACAGATGTATACGCACACAAGGTAAGAAATGTCATATATCTACAAATACATGTCAAATACTCTGATCAAATATACTTTTGAGAGATATGCACTTTATTTTCTTTCAGCAGGACATTGGCCTGGATGTCTGTCAGGCATTACTGGAACCTGTTAATGAGACAGCTACTGCACATTTCTTACCAAGGTATGGTTTTGCTTAACTGCTTGACTGTGGACTCCATTTGTTCGCTTCTTTTGGCTGGAAGTGTCTTGATATTGCTTTCTGCCATTGTTCCTCAAGCTCTGATTCTGCCATTAAGTCCAAAATAAGTAGAGAGAAGAGTTTAAATGGCACCATTGAACATCTTTGCACTGACACTTCATAATTACTAGCTACAACTTCCCCCCAAATAACTCCAAAACATGTAAAGAGTTTCTTTTGTAGACAAACTGAAGCATACTGAAATTAACCAAACATACACTCAAGTTACAGAGTCATCAGCAGTTACTCAGTCTCTCTTGCACTATTAGAGAACTATTACACAATAAATTCAGTTCAGTGAGTTCCCATGCACCCATATATACTAGGGGTACCCAAAATATTTCAAAATAGTGCACCAAAAAGACACCAAAAAGGCAAGTAGTAACTACTATCTAAACCTGAAACGACACAACTAGTACCTGATACCCACCACCTCTAATGTGAGACAAATCTGAGAATTTCCAAGAGTATCTCCCCACCCCATGTTTCTGTTTTTGCATTCTGTAGTGACAAAATTCACTATTTTCATTCTAGAGAGGAACCCTTATGAACAAAGACATCTGTTTTAAATAGTCCAGATGCATATGTTTGCCTAAGAAACAACCTACCTTTATTTTCAAAACTTCAGACACCTCAGCATTATTATATGGCTTCTGTGGCTGTTTTGGCTTGTGGGTGCACTGCTCTCCTAAAAAGCCATCTGTAAACACCTGCTGACTACAGCGAAGTTTGGATCTAGTACAGGAGAACAAAGAGTTTACAACAGAACTTCACACTTACTGATAGCACAAGACAAACATGGAAGAATTTTCTGCTGTTTGAGAACAATCTGGAAGACAAGCTCAAGTAAGTTAGTATGGAAACTCTGTCCACTTACCCAACTTTATTTTGCCTGCTGGTAGAAAACGTGTGTTCTCCACAGACCATAGGCCAGGTCCACATTAGCATTTGTCCTGCTGTTCTCTGTGTTGGTGCTGACCTGACATAAATTATTGGAGCTTTCTCTTAGGGACTAGAGGCTTTAAAGTTTGCTTTATCACTTTTCACTGAGCTGAATCTAAAGCCAGCAGCACTTGCTTCTCTTCTGATGCCCATGGGTTTTGTCTAGCTAGCTATTTCTGACAGTATTCTACAGTCCTAGTTTAGAGAGTCCTATTTTTCCTTTGTGGAAGTGCCAAAACCATTGAACTTGAAGCAGTGAAACTTGTTTTAGCTTCTGGTTTTTTTGATTCCCATAAACAAGACTCAAAAAATTATCTCAGTTCTGACACATTGTCAGAGACTGAAATGGTTAATGATTTATGCATTCCAGGAGTTTGCAGGCTTTTGACTTTTGCATTATACCTCGGAGGGACAGTTGGACCTGCCCCTCCCTCCAGTGAAGAGCCAAGCTTGCAGACTTTTGACTTTTGTCTTACACCTCTGATGGGCAATTGGGCCCATCCCCCCCTCTGCCAATCTTGAAAGGCGGGAACCAGGCCAGACTCAGAAACTCTGCGCAGGCCCAGGGAGAGGTTAGAGGCTCGAGACACGGCCTGTGACACTAACCATGGATATAATAACTCATAACTTCATGGAGTGTGAGGGCTTCCCTCCTTCACCCCCAGCAGATCAAGGCCACCACTTCAACCGACAGACGTGGAAGCGGCAACTATCAAATGTCATCGCTGGACCCCGTGGACGGTGACTATATGCATCTTTCCACTCTCATATTTTCTTTCCCTTACTCTCCCTTACCCTTATCCCGTCTTTCCTTTCTCTCCCCTAAGCAGTTTTTCCCCCCCCAAAGGTTATCTCTACGTTGCATTGTTGTATGACAACACTCAAAACGCTAGCATACAAAATTGTTAAAATAAACTTTGTCAATATATGTTTTTAGACACCGATTATTCAGTGTCGTTTCACTTTAATCCACCCCAAGGGAATTATTGATAAAAACCTGAGTTACCCCCCCTCCCCTTTTCCTGGGGCAGGTCGTAACACACACATATCACAATATCAATTAAGTTCTATCCTATTTACAGACTTGGGACATAAGCCTGCACTTTTATTTTTTTTATTAACCCATTCTATTACAGGAACATGAATTCTCATGAGAAAGGACAAGCAGCTTTGTATGACCAATGTTTTATAGATAGGATATAGAGGTGTTAAACTGACCTGGTTCTTACCTAACTTTTTCCAAGTTGGGCTTACAGGGTGTACTTCCTGCAGATGAAAAACCATTGTCACTATCTGAGGAATCTCCATTTCTTCGGGAAATCCATTCCCTCAATGGTCTGTGAGCAAGAAGTACAACAAGATCTACTTACTAAAAGAATTAAAGTTGTCTGAAAGACCCTGACCTACCATTTGCTTCATCTCAAACATACCTGATGAAGGGAATTGCCATAAAAAATTTGTTAGGTGCCAAACCCAGCTTGGACTTCGGGGTCATGTCATTTCTGTGGCATGGTAATTTGTCGATGGAGAACCACTCAATATTCTAGAAAAAGAAGAAATAAAATAAAGATACACACTATTGTAACCTTACAGAATGTTACAAATGTGTATCAGCAACAATTATTTCCCTTAATTAAAAAATTATCACAGAAGACTTAAATTAACGTGCCACAACAGCGTTTTTCACAAAAGGTTAATTAACAATGGGGTCATTCTTCTGACTGCCACTACAGAGTAGCAGATGTAACAGCACGTACTCATTGCAAGACGTCACACCTAAAATATGAAAGGTATTAATCAGCAACTGAATTTTGCGTAAGAGAATTTAAAACCTTCTTACTATTTTACTCAAAATGCCATCAATCCTAGACCACCAATACTAGTTCAAAAATTATCAGAAAAAAGGGTATTTACTTTGGGAGTAAGTTTCAGGTTTTGTTATAAAAGAAAAAAACATGGGTAAAGGATAGGATTTGTGTTACACTTTATACACTACAGTTTTAACTATTAAAACTGTATACTTTGCACAACGGGGAAGGAAATCAGAAATTCTGACTACAGTCATTGTAGAAGGACCCACGTGGGACTTTCTACTGCAGAATCTAACCCCAAAACCCCAGGTCCAGATAAGATGTACGTTATGAAAGTAAGTTACAAACTGAACAAGTTTTCTATGTGTTTCTACAGGGAATACAAAAACAACACGTCCGGTTGTATTAGATCAGGTGAAGACAATGCTTCAAAACTCTGTCTTTACAAGAACTCTTCATCGTTCCCACACAGATAGTCACTGTTCCACAAAGGGGGATATTTATTGTATTTTTTGAAAAACCCTCAAATTTCTTCTTACTTTGTTTTTGAAAAACAGGTCTCTAACGCAAGAAATTAAGTCCTGTCCAGTCAACTGCAAGTACCTTTTCCTGTTTAGAAAGACAGATGCCTTGTTCAGTGGCAACATCTGCATAGAATTGTAGGGAGAGCTGTTTTAAACTGAATTGCCATACAAGAAAAATATTCCAACTTCAGAGATTATAGATATCAGGACCAAAGTTTCCAACAAATCTACTACCGGAGCCTTTGCCTTTCCCTTTCACAATACCTTTTAAAGGCATAAAGGTACACAAACCATCCAAAATAGTTCTCATTTTTTGTCCCCTTCCCAACCTCCTCCTAAATAGGGATGGTACTAGCCATGAAAGAGAAAACACAATCCTTAGTTTCTCCTTCTTGTATGTAGGCTTTTGCATATCACCAACTAATAATTACACCTTGAGAAGAACATATACGCACCTGTAAGTAGGAATAACATGAAATGATTAACACATACAGCATATACAAGAAAAGAAGGAGAGAACTATAGTTTGACAGCATGCTCTGATGTTGTTCTCATGATGAATGGAGATGTCAGACAGATGGTCAAGTATCAGTCTTTGCAGTTAAACTGCAAGAAGTTGACATGAGCCTACAGTGTACAGATGCCACTGGCATCTAATATTTAAGGTATTCATTGTGCTTGGCGGTTTAATTATTTTATAGGCTCTTGGCTTTAAAAATCAAGCTCCACAAGGTTCCTATAAATTCAAACAAGATAACACATACCCGAATTTCCCTTCTAGTTTTGGGGTTGAATTTTGTGTTCTTGGGAACTCCTGGAATGATATACAGCCGTGCTAACTGATCATTAATTCGCAGCTCAATGTAGTCTTCTTTGCAGATATAATCTTTTATGTCAAACCCAGTTTCTTCAAACACCTGAGAAGCACATAAATTAAATTAGTGTGTGCGTACTCATAAGGGAAGAAATTACTGGTTTTTGCGTATATCCATGAAAGCTGCTAGAAAAAACAAGCCTTTGTACAGAGATGTACACTCAAAAATAGAAAAAATGTAAGATCGTATGTGCTTCATATTTCTCTAAGACAGTAGACTTGTAATGAAGTTGAAACAACTCTATTACATCTTCACGTAGCAATTTATTAATATTTATGAGGAATTCTCTAGCTACTCCTCCACGCTGCTGGAAATCATATTCACAGCAAAAACTAATATTTTGGGAGTAAAGACATCTTCAAATTCTATCAAGGTTTACTTGCATCTTGATTTTTCCTCTTTTTCACAATCCTTCTGCTTTAAGAACTTTTTACCCCCAATATGTAATCCTGCATGGTCAGCTCCTCCAAAGAGGGAAAAAAAAAATGTGCCTAGTAATCTTCAGGTTACTAGAAAGACAATGACATTTTGAAAGAACATCTTGTTTCAGTATTTTATGGCCTTGCAGTGAAGGATCATAGATTCACAGAACAGTTAGTGTTTCAAAGGGCCTTAAAAGATCACCTCTGCCAACCCCCGGCCACAGGCAGGCACATTTTTCAGATCATGTTGCTCAAAGTCGTACTTAGGAATATTTACTTTTGACAACATTTATAACATAAAAAGAATAATTTCAAACACACCTGATAGCTTAAATCAGATCATGCCTCTAAGCTTGCTAAGAAAATACTCATTTTTAGAAACTTCCTTGTCCTCAAAGTCTCCACAGGACATACAACTACTCAGAAAACATGCAGGACTAATACCACTATGCAAAATATTTCTGCCCAGACAGTGGAATATGCATGTGAACACACACACATAGAACTGGGTATTAACTCCAGGGCTGCTAAGCCCCACTGCCAAGAGTCCAGAGGCAGAAGTCCTCCTTAAATTTTTAAAAAACTAGGTTTAGAATTAAAAATAGGAACAGGAACTTCAGTAAAACCTGTTCTCAACCCTCATCCAGGTAACTCCATATAAAATGAGAATAGCAGACAATACTCAAAATATGTTATGCAAAATACCAATTTAAATATTGTTATCAGCAAAATATTTCTAAGTTCCATTTTTGAAAATGCAGAGAAAAGTAAGGACAAATAAGAAAAAAACATGAAGCATTTAATACAAAGCAAATAACTGATCAGTTACTCTTCAAATTAGCACTTCCCTCCTACATAAAAATAAAAAGCAAGCCATCTTCCCATTTAACTACATGAAGAACACCAAAATTTTGGGGGAAAGCAAACAAAAGACCCTACCACATACTGTTTCAATTAGGACAGACTGTTCCTCCGTACTTACTCTCACTTCCAACACCAATATTTTCCCTTCCTAAATAATATTTCCAGATGATATAAATGAATTCATTGAAAAACTTCTTTTAACAAGGGAATAATCCATTTAGTATGGTTTAGTTCTCATTAACTTTTGAAATACTACTGAACTGTGCAGGCATTGCGAAGTTAAGACCTCTTCAATCAGATCTCACACAAGTGCAGTTATGGTTTTAGATATGTGCTGACTTCAGTGAAAGCACTTAAAAGATTTACTTCAGATATTACAGACATCCTTATTCCTGGCCCCATATAAGCCTTGAAGAATATGTCGGTTTATCCACAGTGACAATCTAACTTGATGGAAGGAAGGTCACAGCAACAGTGCAACAGTGCTGTTCACCAGTGACATCTAAATCAATTCTTCAAATTAAAAATACCATCAAAAAAATTTTTTTCCAATATAACTGTGCCCACTTCAACGCTTTTGTTAGCATAACCTGAAGTAAAGAGGAAGGCATACTTTGTGTCACTCCTTCCTGAAGCAGTTATGCCTAGTCCATCTTTGACAGCTATATTTAAAACAAGAAAAATCCATAATTTCCTAGATACTGATTCAGTCCAACTGTAAACAACACTAAATGCATCATAATACTTTCCCTCACCTTAATGTTCTCTCTCAAAAACTCTGGATGTATTATGTCAAACAAACACTGAGTTTGTACCAGTAATATTCTTTTACAGGGCATTTTTAATTACGCAGCTTCACTACATATCTAGGTCTCCAGGAGCAATAAATACCACAGATTATTTTATTTTTCAGATTTTACTTGCCACATACATTGATTCTTGTTCCTGCATCGCTGAAAAATAGAAAAGCAAAGTTCTTCACAATTTTTACATAAAATTCTACAATATCCAACTTAATTCCTTATCCTCTTTGCACAGTCGAGTGTACACAGGCTAAATTCCCATTCTTCTACATTTTTACAGTTATGGTAAGCCTTGAAATTTATATCCCAAAAGCCATAAAGTACATAAGATTTCCCCAGCAACACAAATAATACTTAAAAGTAAATTCACAGCTCAGCAGAGAATCTTAAAAATAGTACTCACTTCATTTAGCACAATAGTGAAAACCAATTTGAAACACAAACCCTCAACCTTGATTATCACTCTGGAACTCAGAAAAGAACCACAAAGTATAGCAGAACATGACTGCAGGAATAGAGTATTTATTTACCTGATTGCATTAAAGGATTCCTAAGTAAAATATTTTCTCATCTAACACACATATACTGATCTCAGCAAGATTTCACTTCTTTAGTTTAAATTTAAAGGAATTAGACATAACTTACCTCTCTAGCAGCACAGTCATGAGGAGCCTCTTCTTTATTTACTTTGCCTTTTGGAAATCCCCAGCCAGACTTTGCTAAATAGCCCTGAACCAAAAGAACCTACAAAATACAAGAGAATGCAACTGTCAAACACACAGGTGTTCTCACCAAATTCTTTAAAATGTTTTCTCTCCACCACCCCCTGATTCTCCAAAAGGATACTTTAGCCTGAGAGAAGGAACTCATTAGGTTTGTTGTGTTTTAGCAAGAACTGAAAAATTTTTTATGGGCTCCTGTAACTCAGAATGAAAAAAACCCCCAAAACTGAGAAGGAAAGCAAGCAGAAGTGTGTTTACTGTCTCACATATTATATTTCTGTACACAGTTAACTGTGTCAAGTAACTGTCAGATCTTTGCAAAACTGACAGTGAATCTAAATTTGTCCAGAAGAAAAACACAAACAACCAAAAAATTACTTCTGCCAGCATATGTCATCCTTCCCTCTAGTGCCTCACAACTATTTCCATACTCACATTTTCAAGTGTCTCATCAAGAATAATTGCACCATAGGTTGGCACTCCCATTTTGTATTCTTTCCACTCATCTAAAACCTTTTGTACATCTTCACCTTGAGGCAGTAAAAAAGGGCAGTGATTGAAGAGTACAGCAAGATGCTAAGGAAGATAAATGTAAGTATCCAGTTCCAAATCACACAAAGACTCAACACTTAGAATAAACACACTCACTACCGTAAATGCTTTTAAGATATATTCTCTTGGAAGTAAAACAAAAAGTTATGAATAATTCAGTATTAAACGCTCAAGGTCAGAAAGCATCAAGTAATTTGGCAATTCCAATGCAAGCCAATTTAAATAAATAAACAATCAATCAAACAAACAAATAAATAAGTGACAGGAAAAAAGATGACACAAGGCTGCTTGTTTGAAGGACAATCTTCCCGAATTTAAAGTGTCCCCTAATTAAAAAAAATAGTATCCACACAACAGTTATTTTGAATATATTATTCTTAAGCACATTTTCTTCATTTTGAAGTGAGCAAGACAGACAAAAATCTTGTGCTTTAAGTCAGTGGGGACAATTTTTCCCCCCATCACTTGTGACTATGGTACAGAATCTGTACTTCAGTATTCACTATGCAAAAAAAAATATATTTTTAATGGCATCAAGTTACAGAAATCTAAATTCTAACATAATTCACCAAAACTCATGCAGAGAAAACATGAACAACCTTTATATAACTCTAAAATTTTGAGAGCAAATCTACAAGTCCTTAAGAAAAGTATTAATGTTACATATTATATATGTGATTACTACTATAAGAATATTATAATACTGATAAAAAAGCAGAGTACTTAGAAATATGACACTGCAGCAGAATTTATATTTCTGGCAAATGTGAGCAAGCTAGAGAGGGACAGATGTAAGGAACATATAACATCTCTTACACTGTGTTTTTTCTGCACTGCTTACAATTACTAGAAGAATTTTGTTGGTCTGAAAAATACAATAATAATTAAAAACATGCATAAAATTAATAACAAATAACTGCATAATATCAGCCAAGAGAATATGATCATATTTTTACAGTTTGTTGTCAAAATAAAAGCTGCAGTGTTTCAAAGTAAATCTATATTATCAAACAAATAAGTAAGTTGTGTAGTGAAACCATACATAATATTATCCTGAAAGTCAGAAGCAATATTCCAAAACCCATATAAAAAACATACGCAAAAACATTAAAACTAAAGCCCTTGCTGGAAGAAAGCCACAAATTTTTCTATAATTTCGAACTAGTGTACATTCCAGCAGCCTCTGCAAGCAATGAAAAAAGCAGGGGACAACCATATGAATTCAGTAAAAATGCATCCTCTCCCCTATGAAAAGAAACTTTCAAAAATACAAACCATTGCCCATGGGGGAGCACATACCACCTTCAGCCATGTTAACGTTTGTGTCACTATTTACTTGAAAATGAATTAAACTAAGGAGTTCAATCAGAAGAGCTCCAACAGCTCATCCTTGAAACCTACCTAGCATGCCAAAGTGCAACTATGAGGAAAAATGCTCAAAGATCAGAAATTAGTTCTCTAGCAGTCTGAGAGACATCTCTTTTGAGTGCCACAAAATTATGGAAGCAATGAACAGGTGAGATCACATACCTAGTAATACTAACTTTTAATCACTAACACTTGAACTGATGATTTCCCCCTATGAAATATTGTTAACAACATTCAGTTGCACTTTACCACTGAGACAGAAAATAATCGCAGTAATAAAAAGGATATCAGCTTTAGCAAAGTCTCTTATCCCACACTGAGGTAATCCTGGTGTGTTTTGCATGTAGAAATCCAAATAAAACCAATGGGCCAGTTCAATCTGAAAACACACTCTGATTGCATTGTCTCTCTCTTCACTTGGAATGTGCAAAATAAATCGGCTGCCAGAAAAGAAAGAAGAGTAACATTAGCCAAATCTATTGATTTAAATGAAGTTAACAACAAAAACACATTGCAATAGCAGAATTCCTGATCCATTAGCAAATACCAACAGACCACCAGATCCTCCAGTTGTTCTGCAGGGACAGCAAAAGGTTTTCACAAAGTAAAACACAACTTTGGAAGTCAAGAAGGAAGATAGATTATGATGTTCTTTCAGAAAATCAACTACAATAAACTAAGTAAATTAACTGCTGTGAAAACAGGGAGGGTGAGGACAACCTATATGAATGTCCTTACTACAGAAATGAAAGCACCAGTAAAGAACATCTGCAAACTCTGATAAGAGATTTCAACACACTTTTTTCAGAACAGAAGTTAAACATGGCTATGTATTTTCACTTAAAACCACAGTAAACTACTAATTTATTTAGATTTTAAAATTCAATATGATCCTATTAATTTCCTCAGTCTGAAACAGAACATGGACAATTGGTTTCTTTTTCATGTCACATTATGCTTTAGCCCAGACACTCACAAACACAAAGCACCAGAAATGTAAGCTTAAGTAGCACTGTGTGATAGCTTATTTTACTTAAGCAGAAGAAACTTCAATTGTTTATTTATTTGTATCAAAAGCACAACTTTCTTTTTAGAAATTGAAGGTCATACATCTCGTTGAACTTAAATCATCTGACATAGATCTTTTACATTCAGCTCCTGAGTGCCACCAGCTAAATTCCAAAAGTGCATATCATTGCTAGAGCTGGAAACACTTAAGACATCTTTACTTAAAATTTGACAGGTATAAATTGTTATAGGATGTCAAAATTTGCGCTCTGGTCAAAGAGGCAGAAGGTCACGCGTGCAGGCACACACTTGACATTATCATTGTCTCCACTTCTGTTTTCTTAGGTGTGTGTCTGAATATTTTTTTATTCTAATTTTCCCCTAGCGAGATAAAGTAGCTGGAAAGAACATTCCCATACCCCCTCATCAGTCAGTGGCCAAGTCTGGTTCTCACCACCACCTCCCTTATGAGTTTGTGTCCCTGTACGCTTTGTTCCTGGATTTCGCACCTTCTTACTATCCCATTTTCACACTACAAAAGGTCCTTGAACAGATATCCTTAAAGAATGTGACAGGCCTGAAAGGGCCTGAAAGTTCAACAAGGCCAAGTGCAAGGTCCTGCAGCTGGGTCGGGACAATCCCAAGCACAAATACAGGCTGGATGGAGAGAAGCCCTGGGGAAAAGGACTTGGGGGTGTTGGTGGATGAGAATCTTGACCTGAGCTGGCCATGTGTGCTCACAGACAATTCTTTGGATCAAAAGTAAAGTAGGCAGCAGGCCTAGGGACAGAATTCTTCCCCTCCACTCTGCTCTTGTGAGACCCTACCTGCAGTGCTGTGTCCAGCTCTGCGGTCCTAACACAGGGAGGATGGGGACCTGCTGGAGTGAGTCCAGAGGAGAACCATGAAGATGATCAGAGGGATGGAGAACCTTTCCTAAAAAGACAGGCTGAGAGAGTTGGGGTTGTTCAGTTTGGAGAGAAGGCGGCTCTAGGGAGACCTTATAGCACCTTCCAGTACCTAAAGGGGGGGCTATAAAAAATATGGAGAGGGGCTTTTACAAAGGCATATAGTGATAGGACAAGAGGGAGTGACTTTAAAGAGGTCATGTTCAGATCAGATATTAGGAAAAAATTCTTTACTGTTAGGGTGGTGAGACACTGGAACAGGTTGTTCAGAGAAGTTGGGGATGTCCCATTCCTGGAAGTGCTCAAGGCCAGGTTGGAATGGGCCCTGAGCAACTGATCTAGAAGGTGTCCCTGCCCACAGCAGGTGGGTTGGGACTAGATCATCTTTAAGGTCCCTTTCAACCCAAACCAGTCTATGATTCTTCCTTACATAAACAACCTTATTCACTTCAACAACTCTTATTTTGCCACTTCCCAATTTTCAGTTGGTAATACCACCCCTAACTGCTCATTTCTTTTGAAGGCTCCATTTTGAGTGCTGAAAAAAAGCCCTTACAGACAAGGCTTCTGTAGACAAAAGGTAAAAAGTTAAAAGTCTATTTTAACTCGCAGTACTGCAGTTGGACATAAACCTAAAGATACAACATATAGCAGTACCAAAGAGGAATAAGAACGTGCCAGGCATTACGCTTAGAGGAACAACAGCAAAGTCAATTAGAATGCTACTTATTAATCAAAAAGTTAACTTTTAAGTCATGTGGAGTGACTGAAGTGGTAACAACAGGCATCTCCAGGTTGTATTGGGTGCGGGTGCTCAGCTGCGGCAGTGAGGAACACACTCCAGGGCACAGTGAAGGCAGAAGCCAGGATGGTGGAAGTGTACTTAGGAAAGGACAAAAATGCCAGACAGGCAAAGGAAGGGAGAAAAAGAGCATGAAACAGCAGTGCAAACACTGAAGTTGGAGAAGAAGGAGGGAGGTGCTCCATGGCAGAGGAGATGTCTACCCTACAGCCACGGTGGTAACTGGTAAGCAACACTCCTGTCTCATCCTGAGTCACAAGCTTTCTATCCTATTTTCTCCCTCATCTTATTGAAGAGAGGGAGTGTATGGCTGGGTGTACCTCTGGCTACTGAGGAAGGTTAACCAACCACAGTCCTGAAGTCAAATGATGGGGCAACAGCACTTGTTTATAAGAGAAAGCATCAAGAGGCTCCAAAACCTAAATTAAGTCTCTGCACTTCCACTTCTTTATTCAGCAAAGAACAACCAAGCAGCAATAAGAGAGCACGACAAAAAAATTACAGGGGTACTTGTGACGTGTTATTTAACAAGACTCAGTAATTGAGTAGGAAAAATTGCTTGGCTCTTTCTGCCAAAATTTCCACTAATATCACATCCAGAGAATGTGGGAAATTACAGCTATTTTTATAACCCATTTCTAGCCAACCACTTGACTACACTCATACAATTATAAGACAAAACACCATTTCAAAGCTAGAAAATGACAGCAGCTCAAAGAAACACAGTAAAACAGTGGGACTGACCCTATCACAATGTAAGATCCAAATACTCTGTTATACTAGTGACATTAATAGGCTGTATCAGTTTTGTAAACATTGTAATTCCCTTCTGGGTTTTCTGAAAAGACTCAAATGTGAGCAGGGATCTAAAAGGCATGTGCCATCTCTGTGCAAGGAATGCAAAGAAAACACAATGAAAACACAAACATGGTTCAGAGGCCAGAGAGAGAATTTAAAGAGAGAATTAGAGAATTTAAAATTTACTTGCATATCGCATTAGACTCATGGAAAACAACACTGAGCAGAGCAGTTCTACCTTCCTGTGGTATTCTTCCTCTGAAACATTTTCACTCATTTGAAACTAGTAATTACAGTAAGTGGACTATTCTTCGTCTAAACTTTCCCTCTTGTACATAAATAATTCAGGAAGGGTCCCTTTGATGATTTTGTGCCAAATATCAGATCTAGTCTGGGGTATCACATTCTTGGGGATGATGGATAAATTAAAAGTCTGAAGGGCTGCTCCACAGATGATCAGAGCTTGAGACCACAAGAGGGAAAGGTGCCTTCCCCCTTTCTGACAAAAGAGAACCCACGATTTATGAAAACGCAAAGCCCTGAGAACAAGAAAAGGTGACTATCCCACTCTGAAAGTACCGATAAGCGGGAGAGAGCAATTCCAGACCGATGGGTATCCCTTTTCCTCCGCTGGCACATCCCATTCCAGCAGAGGTAAACCAGCTGGAGGGACTCTGACAGCCATTCCAAACGGATCCCGACGCCAGAGCGGCGGGTGTCCCCCAATTCATCCCACCACGTCACCCCAAATCCCCGCTTCGGTCTCTGCTTCACCTGCGCAGCTTTACCTCCTCCGCCCCGGCACCGCAGGAAAACGCCGCAGACAACGTTCTGCCACTTCCCCCGCACTCCCGGCTCCCTGTCCGCCGCTCGGGTCCGGAGGATGCGGCGGGCAGCCTTCCCGCCCTCCCAGGATAGATCCCTTCGGGAAGGCGGAGCCTCGGGCACAGGGGGAGCGGGGCGAGCCCCTTCCTTCCGCTTCCCGGCCGCCGGGGGACGGCCTGAGCCGCCCCTTCCAGCGGCTTGCCCCGCACCCCCGCGGCGCTCCGAGCATCCCAGGTATCCCAAACATCCTGGGCCCCCCGCCCCGCCGGGGGAGCCGCCGGGGGGAAGGCGCCCACCGCGTCCTCCAGCAACAGCGGCTCCGAAGCCCTGGGAGCGCCCCCCGCGCGCACGACGGCACCTGCATAGGTCGTCCAGGACGCTGCTGGGGATGTCGGCCCGTTTGCTCTCCATGGGGAATCGCGGCTCATCCCGAAGCGGCGGAGCCCGGAACACAGGGAGGCGGCGGGGGCGGGGCCGCGCGGGGAGTTTGGGGGGGAAGGACGGCGGAACGACAGCGGCCCTGGCCAATCGCCGCGCGGCACCGGCGGAGCGTCGGCCAATGGGGCGGAACGCTCGGGGCCGACCACGGCGATCAGGTGATCGCGGGTGCCCAATGGGCGCCCCAGGGGGGCGGGGCCGCCGCGTGCGCGCCGGTTGCGCCGCGAGTGGAGGAGCGAAACAGCGGGATGCGAATAGAAAGGTATGGAATAGAGGGATAGAGAGGTAGGGGATAGATAGAGAGGGGATAGAAGGGTATGGAA